CTAGCACTGTGAGATTCTGTGTAATATTAGAACTGTATGAGACAGACCATCTGGTTTCTTAAGGTTCAAACTACATTCTAGAGACAAATCAAGCAATTTAAAATACACACACACACACACACACACACACACACACACACACACAACCTTGATGGGACTTCCAGGGGATTTGAGTCTCATGGGCAGAACTTCTGCATTTGGCTGCCACTTGAAGCAAGGCTTTTTGACTGTGTACTTGAGGATGACATGTTTGGAGAGAAATAGAATAGCTATGGCATCTCTTAATTTTAAGTGTAATTTAATCCTTTACCCAGGATTCACACATGACAGTCTTGAGGTTCTAATTAATAGTAAAAATTGACAAAATACAGCCAGATCGAAAGGTAGTTGGATATTTTCAGGTCTTATGGAAAGTTAAATTGATTAATATAGCCATTTGATCTAGTTTAGCCTCCATGTATGGAAGCCAATCTCCATTTTTCAGATGTATTTCATTGATAATTGAGTCTTATTAAAATGTAGTTATCACACTTATTCACTGAGGTTTAAAATCAAGCAACTTTCTTGCCTTTAGATACTCAAATTATGCTAATATATTCTTTTTCTGAATTTTTCCTATGAAATAACCTTATATTGGTATCATATTTTATATAGTTTTCCTACCCACTCTTTCATTTGATCATCACAACAGACTTCTCTGATAAGCTGGAGGTAAAATGATGTCTTCATTTTAGAGAAGAATAACTGAGATTCAGGTGCCAAGATCACATGTCTAGAAGTGACCACACCCCCAACTATTTTTTCACACTATTCATTACCAATGAATGGATGGGTTTGTTCTGCTATTCAAAGGGCATCTTGCTCAAGGCTGGTGTATATTTGCAAACTCCTCACTAATGGCTAAATGTTCTCACACCACAAGAAATTACTCATAAAAACACAGTGTGAATGTGAATGATTAATCTATATGCTGCTGACAGATATGAATAATGAAAGGATACTTTGGAGAAGAATATTTTGTATATTGTCATAAAATTTTACTAATGTTTTTGATAAGTGTAAAATATGTGAGGAGTGCTTAAGTAGATAAAATGAACTTACAGCTGGAAGAGGAGGAGCACCCCAGAAAGAGAACAGTTTCTAAGGAAAATCAGAAGTTTCTGGAACAGGAATAGCCAGAGAAATTTACAGACCAATTACATTTCCCATGAGTGTGATTTATTTTCTGCAAGTTCAAATTTCTCAACTTATACACCCAGTTCAATGCTGTCCCCTTCAAAGAAGTCATCTTGAGAGGCTATATAGTTATTCCATTGATGCTGCTTATTAATTGAGTTATTTTTGGAACTCCTCTTTTATAATTGCCTTCTGAAATAGATACTTTCGTTTAAATATTCTTAATGGTGTTTTAGATAAAGGCAGAATTATTCAGCACAGTGTCTGATGAAAAGGTGGATGCTTAAGCCAGATCATTGATTTCCCTCCCATTCTTCTTCTTCCCTACCCCTCTCTCCTCCATCTCTCTCTTCTTTCCTCCCACTTTTCCTCTCTTTCTTTCCTTCCTCTTTCCTTTTCTTTCTTCTTTTTTCCTTCTTTCCTTCCTCCTTTCAAAATAGATGAGACCAAATTGTTTTACATGTCTCATAAACTTTATTTGAAGACTCCAGAAATTCTTCAGTGTCTTTGTAGTAAGAATATATTTTCAAGTATATTATATTCACGGTTACATTCTAGTTTGTTGGTTTAAAATAACTTGTCTTGTGCTTTTGTAATTATACTCTCTGCAATGAATTCTTCAGGGCTTTTGGTTGGAGTGTTAGAGTCATTGCAAACTATAGGAGACCTGAATATTACCTTCACACTAATGATGGGCTTGGGTGAGCAGCTCTGGGCTGAAGGCTGAGGAGCAGGGCAAGGAGTGGAGCACACTGAGCACTGAGTTGTGTTGGGGATGCAACATGTCACTGAGTGGAGGTGTCTGGAGAGAGCAGCCAAGATGGAATGGTAGAAAACATGAAGCCATGGCATATGAGGAATATGTAAAGGACTTGGGATGCTAACCCTGATGTTGTATATGACAATCAGGCTGGTGTCAGGAAAGGACATGGAACTAGAGATATTGCTTAAAATGTTACTTCTGCTCCCAATTAGCTGTGTAACTGTCATACTGGACCCTTATTGACTCCAATAGCGATGGCACCATATCTGAAATGCCTAAGAACAGACCCAGAGACAATGAATGAGACATAGGATTTACTGGGGGAACTTACATAGAAGGACAATCCAGTGGTGGTGGGCTGGACAGGAGAACTGCTACCATTTGTAAAATGCATGTAGTTTATATAGCATTTTCACTTAGCAACGTTCACCTAAACGTTCATTTAACCCAAAACAAAGGACTTTGATCCCCTGTATGGCCTGCATACTAAGAGATGAACTGGGGGTTTAGATGTCCTTCATAGATAAAAAGTAAATCTCTGGGTTGACTATTTCCAGATTTCTTAGCTTAGGACTCCGAACATACACTTTTCTGAGAAAAATAATTTAACCTCCTTGTGTTTGTTTTTTAATCCATCAAGTTAAAATTTTAGAACTAAAAGAGTTTAATGGTTATTTAAAGAGTAAAATTGATTTCATAAGGGATGTATGATAAACGTCTTTAAATACTTGAGAAACTCTCATGTAGAAGAAGGATTAGACTAAGACTGTAGAATCTCTAAAAAGGAAACAGGTATCAAAGGGTTGCAGGGGAGAAGGTTTCAGCTTTAAGTAAGAAAGAACTAAGTAGCCAACACTGAGATGGCTACCTTGAGCCCGGAAGGTGCCATGAAAAGTTCCCCATCAGTGAAAGAATTCAAGAAGAGCTGAGAAGACCAATTTTATGATATAGAAGGGAAGCATAAATTGTAAGAAGTGGTAGGCTAGTTGATTATGAAAGTCTCTTTCAGTTCTAGGGATTCTGGGAATCGCTACTCCTTTGAGGTCTTCTGCATTCTTGATTCCATTTGTGAAGCTACACAAGATCAGGGAATGACAAGCTTAAACATCCCAGGTAGTTCTGGAAGTGAGAAGTGATTCATGAGGATTTGGTTCATGCTGCATAAGCATCATTAGAATCACCAGAAGGATGTGCATCCTAGCAACCTTGTTGTTTAACCTAACATTACCTGGAAGAATCAAAGAAGACCTCCCAGTTTCAATGAATGAAAGGAGTTAAAAAAAAAAAGAGTTTTTAAGCTGCCTCCTTTAGCATCCTCACTACAATTACAACATATCCCTTTTGCTTCTTAGCAGGGACATGTCTCACAAGCAACATCAGGCCCAAGGCTCCAGAGTAACATGTCATGTGAACACAGAGCTAATCATTATTGATTCCTTGGTCCATTATGGTAAAAAGACATTAATTACCATCAGTGCAGTTGCACTAATGCAGTTGTAATGAGCATGCCTTTGGGAATTCCCAATGAAGGGACTGCTCATCAGATGACAGCAGCCAGAGGGGAAAAGGGTGGGCTAAGGTGAAGGTGTCCAGGAGGAAGACAGTTTCATTGGTCTGACTCTAGTTACCTCCAGTTTCCGCTAATCTATGCACAAGTCACCAGAGCACTCTGTGAAATGCCTCTCCCACCTTTTCCCATTCCTTAGTATTTTCTGTTCCCTATACACAGTGTAATAGCCCTGGTTTCCAGATGCATCCTGTCATATCAGATCCTTGCTTACTGTACTCATCTCACAACTCTTAGAAGTACGGGCAAGAGCTTAGCAAGAGTTAAAGAGTATGTACATATCTCTGGGATAGAGGGAGACCCTAATCTGGGATAGAGGGAGACCTTTCTTAGCAGAAAGTTGTCTTGGTACACTCTTACTTTCATTTCTTGTCTCTACCATCTCCAACCTTTAATCCATCTTTGTTTTTCAATAGCAATTGTTAGCACTTAATGAGACTCTACCTGTCTCTTATACACATCTAGATGTATGTTGTATATGACAATCAGGCTGGTGTCAGGAAAGGACATGGAACTGGAGATATTGCTTAAAATGTTACTTCTGCTCCCAATTAGCTGTGTAAC